AAATAAAATAAAATAAAATAAAATAAAATAAAATAAAATAAAATAAAGGATTTCCACTAACCAAGAGTTGATGTATAGCTTTTAAGATAGACCCCATATCAGAAATGCTGAAACCTGAAATTTCTATCAGTTTTAGAGCTGATATGATATGTATTATACCCAATATAATAGTAAAACTGGTCATTAGGATCACAGAGAAGGAATGCCCAAAACTTCAGGGAAAGCTGGGGATGAGATTTAAGAAAGGAAATACTTTTTGTTAAGACTTGAAAAAACAAAACAAAACAAAGATTAGAGGTGTTGCTGCTGAGAAAAAGGCATTCCAGGCGGGGGCAACACTGCATATTTATAACAATCAAAGGTGTGATGTGTTTGGGAAACAGATGAGTCTTGGTGTGACCAGATCATAGGGTTTACGTGAAGGATTCAAGACCCGTAAAGAGAAGACAGTTGCTGTAGGATTTAATTAATATTATAGAAAACAGACAGTATCGAAAGTGCTGTGTGCAGGAATGACATTGCATGCTGGGCTCATCTTGTTTGGTGGAGGAGTGTTGGGGAATCAATCGCTATTTCTTTTGTTATTAAAAAAGTATTATAATTATCAACAATATAAAGAGAATCAACGGAGCAAGACTCACAACGAGCCTGAGTAAAAACAATAGTGGTAAAAAGATAGAAGGAAAGAAGGTAGGGAGGGAGGAAAGAGGGAAGGAAGGAAAGAAGGATGGAAGGAAGGAAGAGAGGGATGGAGGGAGGGAGGGAGGAAGAAAAGACAGATTAGTTGTATGAGCTATGTTAGGAGCAGGGCAAGAATAAAGCAAAACGTGAAGAAAGGGTAATGCTGCCTTTTTTGCCTAGACAACTGGCTGAACACTTAAAAGGAAGACAGTCAAATAAACTTTGGATGTGGTACGTTTGATGTCATGTTTGGCACACAGGTCGAGATGCTGTGCTTATGGGCAAGAGCTGCATGCTAGTGCAACCTCTACAGAGTTCATGCTCAAGAAACCTGTGACTGGGTTACCAAAAGAAATCAAGAAAGGTTTTTGTGATGTTCTAAGAAGCCTACAGGTTTGTGTTGGGCCACACTCA